AGACAGTTAAGTCTGGCCTTGAGCTCACTTTGTAGCCCAGGCTGGCCTCAAACTCACAGTGATCCTCCTGCCTCAGCCTCTTGAGTGTTAGGATTATAGGCATGTGACTACTATTTTTTTTAAACACTATTCAGACTGCTTATTAACTACCACTTACTGTCTGTTGAGCTCATAGCTTCCTCATTGACCTAAGATTTCATTGTCTCCGGTAATAATCTTCCCCTAAAAACACCTTAGCTGGCCATGGTGGTGTAATCTTAAAATCTCAGCTGCTTGGGATGTCCAGGTAGGAGGACCACAAGTTCGAAGCCAGACTGGGCAAGTTAGAAAATTAAAAAATTTAAAAAGAGTTAGGCATGTAGCTCAGTAGTAGAGCACTTGCCTGCTATGTGAGACCTTGAGTTAATCTCTACTACTGAAGTCCATCCGTCCATCCATCCTTTAAGTCCCTTGCCTTTTCCTCCTCTGCCATAGTCTTCTGGAGCATTCTCAACAGGGGTGACGGATATGCTTTGAGTTCAGGATAAAATATTTAAGTAGACAACCAACATTTCCTAGGAATCCTACCTACTGGAAAGTTTGCACTTCTACTCAAAATAATTACTTTAGACTTCTTCCTCTGCAAGCCTCCACCTCTTGCTTCACATAGCTGCGCATCCCACATCACTGAGGACCCCACTTCTTCTGACAGTGAGAAAGTCGAAGCCCTTGGAAAGAACTCCATCTTCCCCGCAACACATTCCTTTCCCCATCGGCATCGGGCCAGCGTCCCCTTCCTCTCAGAGTGAATGGAGTGTCCGGACTTTCCACGTCCTGCTCTTCCTTTTGCTCTGGGTCCTGTCATCTCCTTGCTGATTAAATTCAATGGACCCTTTTATGTCTGAACTCATTTGAGGTTGAGGGTCAGTGACACAGAGGGTAATGCACCTTTTCCCTTTAAAACACCCTTTTTATTTCCAGCCTTTTAAACTCATTTTTTATTTCCAGCCTTTTAAACACCCTCCTGTTTTCCCTTCCACATCACCAGAAGCCCCATCTCAGTCTCCTTCATGGAATTCTCTTCTGTTTTATATGTCAAGGTGTAGCTCCTGCCTGGATGCACGTAACTCATCTTCGGGTTTGAAGTTTGTGTATCATCTCCTGAGAGGACAATGCAGGGCAGACCAGTTTAGGTTACTGAGTTATATTCTCATTACACATTGTATTTTTCGTAGCATATGTTACCCATGACAGTAAATTGTTTTGTAATTGTTCAGTGTTTGTGTCCTCTTCTGGGTTGTCTGCATCTTTCCCTGTGCCTGTTACAAAGCTGTGAATGTAGCGGATGCCCCGTAAATATTAGCAGAGTGAATGAGTTATTACATAAGTGTCTGAAAGGGCTTAACAAGTGTTCTCTTTCCCTTCATTTCACATTTAGAGGAGCTTGGATATCCTGGGGTTGTGGAGTCAAAGGACGCTATCATTTCTACAGAAGGAAGACGACTTTGTGGTGTGACAGATGTTAGCAGATGTTTAAAATTACTTAAGGACATACTCATGGATATCTCTTTAGGTGGTTGAATGTGTAGACATGGATCTCAAACAGGTCAGAGTTAAGGATATAGATCTTCAAATCACAAACATTTATTTTAAGGTATTTTTAAAAAAAAATATGTGGTCTGCTCCTCTGTGTCTTAAAATGGAGGGAAAGAGCACAGGTGTGTCTCAGAAGACATAAATGAAGATATAAAAAAAAGAGATATAAACGAACAGCGTGTTTGGCACAAATTAAAATTATGTGAACTCTAACCTGATTGGAAAGGGCCAAAAGAGTCACAGCGGAAATGAACACGAATGGAATTATATTCCACCTCCTACTTCTTGACAATAAATCCTGAGTCCAGACTTCAACATCTTTTCCTAGAAACCTGGAGAAATACCCACTCAGAGGTAGTATTCTGCCAAAGCCGTGGTCCATGTGAGGTTGTGGCGCTTTGGGAGTCAGGTGAAGTTAATTACAGTCTCACAGCTCTGGATGGGAGTGGAAAGCGTTCAAATGCAAACAAAGGCTGGGGCTTATTAGGAAGCTGTGCCACACTTAGCTTCCAACCCAGCCTGGAGAAGATCCAGTATCACGTTTCAGAATCGTAGGATCTTAAAATTCTTAGGTCTTGCATGCCATGTCAAAAGTACCGTTATCCTTGTGATTTTAGTAAATGAGCCTAATATTATGAGGAAAGAAGAGCAATGTGTTTGTTTCCTCCAGAATGAGGCTCAGCAGGAGCCTCAGGCTGAGTCAGTGGACCTGTTCCTCTCTCCTGCAAGGCGGTGTGACGAGGGCAGCTCCCCAGTGTAGACTGAGCTCCACGGGATGCTGGTGTCTAATTGTTCAGTCTATACCAGGGTGATACATTCATATTTCTACTAGGATAATAAACAGTCTTCAGGTTCTCGAGCAGAACTGTAGACAATCAGTAATGCTTGGAGAGTGGCTGAAGGAACGGAGCAAGAGGAGTGAGGTGATGAAGACCTGCCTGAGTCAGTGTCCTGGCCACAGCTGTGATTGCTCCAGGATGGAAGGCTACGCTCCATCCCACACCTCAGGGTGCTGCATCTAATTCTAGACTGCAAGGCGCATTGCTAACGTTAACACTTTCCTCATATCTGTCAGCACTGAATCTGTTTTATCAAAGCTGCTCCTTCAACTTTTTGAATATTTCATGTCTCTTAGATAAAATACCAAGGTAGACACATCCCTTTGTAAACATTTATCCTCAACAGTGGAATATAAAGAAATCAGTGTCTAATAATTTTTGGGTAAAGTTGAGTCATTTTGTTACTATGGATACCAAGACTTAAACACTTGCTGCTATGGAGATACTGGGAGAAGAAGAACAAAACTAGTTATGATGGTAATGCTGTTGGCCCAGTGAAAAGTCTAGGCATCAGAAAATCAACTCTTGGTGGTAAAGAAAAAATAAACTTGTGACAGTCTGATTTAAGGTGGCAGACGCAAAAACTGAAATAATAATGCATGCAGTATCTCCATGGTTCTTTGTGATTTCCTAGTTCTTAGGCTTCTGAGGATATCTGTGTGTGTAAGCATAATTTAGAAGACTAATCCTTCAGATCTATTGATCTAAGATACATTTTTCATGAATGCCTTCAGATATGATATGCTTGGGTTGAGTAAGCATAAATATATGAAAGGAAGTTCTACCACATTTGAACTTGGTATAAAATTCCAGTCTTCCTTATTACCCTGTTAATTTATTAAGCTATTACTTACATGAATTAGATGGGTACTTGCTTGTAGCAAGAGCTAGGGGTCAGGGCCCAGAAAGGGCCCCATAAACAGTATACATGTACTGTGCCACTGCCCCTGAGACACCAGTGGGCACAAAGAATGCATTACAGTTATGCAAAAGTTGGTCCTGAGAATACAACTGCTTATCTCGTTAGCTGTTAGGTAAAAGTCTATCTATGCATATGTAATTGTATACGTTTGTGTGAATACCTTCTTGAAATCTTCCTAAATTACTATGTAATTATAATTTTTAAAAATTCTCTGGCTAAGAAATTTTCTGGCATCCATTTGTTTATGCTTGAAGCAAAGTTATGTGTGTAACAACATGAAATTATATTAAATTTGGTGACAGTTGCTATATATATATATTTTTTTTTGTCAAAGGGCTTTGATTAGAGCATGGGTAAATTTCTGAAGAATTACAGTTGTGTAGTTGATTTATCTGTGTGTATTATTGCTTTATTTATTTATTTCGTGGTGCTGGGGTCGATCACAGAGCCTCGCACATGCTAGGCAAGAGCCCTGACACTGAGCTGCAGCCTGAGCCCCTACACGTATTATATTACTATTGTCATTGTTTGGAGCTGGTCATTAAACCGAGGGCCTTTGCACTGAGCTCTATTCCCAGAGCCTTTAAAAAAAATTTTTTTTTTTTTTTTTTTTTGAGACAGGCTCTTGCTAAGTGCTAAGTTGCCCAGGCTGGATTCAAACTTGCAGTTCTCCTGTCTCAGCGCCCCTAGGGTGCTGGTATTACAGGTGTGTGCTACCACACCTGGCTGCAGGTATTATTTTTGATATTTTTTAAAAATAGAAACAAGTCCATATCTATAGAAGGATAAATTGTAAATCAAAGACTAGAGTGTTTATTTCTTCAGGAACATTCTCATTTTAAGAATATCTTTAAAATCATTATATCATTTTAGTATATGTATATTATGTATATGTATCATTATAACATTTTAGTATAAAATAAAAATAGCTATGTATGTGAGAAGCCAGGAACTAGGTAACTTTCTTCTTTCTTTTAAGTGGAGAGTTACTTTTCCTAATAAGAAAGTTACTTTTGAAGTAACCAGCCCTCTTCAAAATAGCAGCAAGCGTTGTTACTGCCCATTGCTAGTTGAGTTGAGACCTTTAGAGAGATCTCATTTAGAAAATCACCGGCAGAACAAGGGAGGGAAGGCGCTGGGCGTAGTGAGGAGAACTGTTGTGGTCATGACACTTTCCTAAGAAAGATGCTTATTTCTGCAGCTTACTGCGGGAAGGGAAGACGCCAGCCTTCCTGAGACTGCTGCTGGATATTCACAGGTTCAGCTGAAATGAGATTGATTTTGATTAGAAAATACAATCCCACGTGGTCGGCAAAAGCTTCTGCTTTTTATTCTTCGTTCCCTTGCTAACATAAAACACTTTTTCAACACAACTTTTCTTAGCTGTTTTTCTCAGATTCACTTGTTCTTTATTCCTTGTGCATCACAATAGTTGAAACACCTACCATTGAATTTCTACAGGAGCCTTCTTAGGGGTGCTATGTGAGGAAAACTCTACATGTAATCAACTATTTTCTGAGCACATTGTGTACTTTTCCGTTTTCTGGGGTATGACTGAAAAATGCAGCAAGTGTTTAACTTAAATTTATTACAGTCAAAGACATAGACCCCTCATAACTCCCCCTTGCTTCAAGTACACTTACCCCATCATTCTGTTTTTTCAGAACGCTGCAAATGTAAGCCTGTCAGAGCTACACAGAAGATCTATTTCCGGAACAATTACAACTACGGTGAGCACACTTGTGTTAAGAATAGAGTGTGTGTGTGTGTGTGTGTGTGTGTGTGTGAGTGTGTTGCCTGTGCAGTCTTGCATGCCTGTAAATGACTCTAGCAATTGAAGAATATGGTTTAAACTGCGCGTGGTGGCACAGGCCTGTGATCCCAGTGCTCTGGAAGGCTGAGGCAGGAGGATTGCAAGTTCAAGTCCAGCCTAGGCAATTTAGTGACTTGGTGAGACCCTACCTCAAAATAAAAAAATAAAATATAGGGCCGGAGATGCAGCTCAACGTAAAGGCCCTGGACTCAGTCTCCATCAACATCGTCAACAACAATCTCCATCAACATCATCAATACCATGTTTAAGAGCATCATTCCCCTTGCATGGCAAGGCTCTTAACAGATGCCTGATTCCGGGCCTGGGGCAGCACTACGGCCAAGTTAGGACTGTGCCCCGCGGTATGCGGAGGGGAGTTTCAAGGCCAGCGGGCTTGGCAGCTGTCTGCTGACGTCCACGGTGTATGACTGATGTGCGAGGCTGGTTAAGGGGCCGGATTCAGTTTCCTCGGTCCGGTCTGCCCAGCCCGAGGAGAATATGCACGGATTTGCGAAGTAACTCGTCGTAGAAGTCCGTACTCAGTCGAAATGTTTTGTTACCTAGCTTGGTCCAACAATGTGACATTCTGATAAACATCATATTAATCGAAAGGCTACCTATCGATCCAAGTGTAGCTGTAACATTTTCTAGAGGCTGGAACGCGTGTGTCAGGCAGTGCTGGGTGTCTCTGTACGCTGTTGTGTCTGATTTTTTCAGCCTCCCACAAGATAAATTATCATGAATTTATCAATGATTATTGAATACAGGTTCTCCCTTCTTTAATTGTTCATAATGTGCTTTGAGGTACGAGTGCGTTTCAGTGTGATAAATCAATTATCATCATTTTTTAGAAGGGGCAGTTAGTAGTTTTCCAGTTGATAAAATACGGAACTAGTCAGTGTTTACTGTATTCTCTAGATATTTTATTGAGAGTTTTTTCATTTGCTGTATTCCATAGGCATTGTTTGGATTTTTTTTTCTAGCAGTACAAATTGAGTATCTATGATCTAATATGGTTGGGACCAGAAGTACTTTGGATTTCAGATTTTGGAAAATGTACATACATGTAATGAGACATCTTGGGTTTGGGACCCAGGTTGAAACACAGAATATATTTATACTTCATACAGATCTTACACATATTGCCCAAAGGTAATTTTATGCAATATTTTTAGTGCTGCTGCATTTTGGGTTTTTTTTTTATTTGTTTTTTTTTTTTTTT